ATAGTTAAACCAAACAATACAAAAATTTTTTGTTTTCAGTTTTACAAAATAATGACCTATATTACAGAGCTTAGAAAAAGTCGTGATACACACTAAAATAGAAACACATCATGGTAAAATTAATACCTTCTCAGATTACATTTTTCAGAATGTTTAACTAGATCTTGATTAACTTCATTGTTTGATTTTAAAATAAGTTATAAGCTACTAGACTTTTTTAGAATTTTATTTTACACATTTTAAATTAAATTTTGACTTATAAATTGTAAATTACATTAAAATTAAATTCCTATTATTTTTAAATAGGTGACACAATATTCAAACTTCGATAACTTTGTGCAATCATCTAGCAAGACATCAAATAGTAAAAATATTTCTTCAAGTTCAAATTTAATAAAATATAATAAGTCCAAACTAAACCACAAATTTTTCAGTAGATTTATTTATTTAATTTATACTTAATTTTCCTTTTAAACGCTGTTTTAAGAACAATATAATGATGGAACTTTTTTATAATCGTGTTTTTTTAAATATTTATAAGAATATGCAAAAAATAGACATCAAAATAAACGTATAATATTTAACGCACACACTACTATAACAACGTTGGCGGTTTATTCTAAACATTTACTAAAAAATAAATAAAATAGTATATCATTAAGTCTAGAATAATATTAGAAAGGTACGGAGCAAGTTAAACAAAAATAGCACAGTGTCTACAATAAAATAAAAAACGAGATATAAATCACATTGATGTAATAAAAATAATAATGAAAGAAAATACATGATTGGACTTCAAAAATTACAAATTTATATAATTTTAAGTGAAAGCTAAAAAAACTATGAGTATTTTTGAAAATTTAAACAAATAATACTTTTACGTATCTTTTATTCATCTAATACATGTAATAATATTGAGTTATCTCAATATATGGCACGTTATTTGAGAGATAAAGAACTACATTTTTGATTTTTTCCAAATCTTCTTCTTTACCAAAAACTGTGTTTTTTAATTGTGCCCTGTACCGTAATAATTCTAGCATTACATCACCTAAATCGTATGACTCATTTTCTAAAAAATACAACAATATAAATGAAGTAATAGATATTTTACAATAATTTGTTAGATAATTACCGACTTCATTATTGTGACTTTTCCATTCATTTATCATTTCTACCTAAAGTATACAAAATAGTTTATTGTAGACATAAAGAAAAAAACACATTTTTTGTACGCAACGCCCAGTAATATTATGTATATAATGTATATAAATGTTGGTGGGAGGAGGCACTTATAACTAATGCAACAATGAATAAATAAAATAAAGTAAATAATAAGATTAAAATAAAATTGTGAACAACTATTTATCTACAATGATGTTGATGACTGTTTGATGTAAGTGGAAGGCGAATGAAGTCGTTGGTATAGCAATTAAACCAGGGAAAACATACTGTCGCCAACAGTACTTCAAAATGTGCGAATGTAATTCACGATGAGCGTATCACAAGTATTTTAACAACTACGTGCTCGAAATCATTGTAAAACCATATAGCAAAATGAGCTAGGATAGAGGCGACAACGCAGAATCACAAACAAGGATCAACAGTTACTCGGTGTCGTACAAAAATTGCATACGTAATCATACAACGAAAATAAATCTCTCGCACAACTGGTGGTGGTAGTGAGAGTGGCGTATCCATTCACAAGAAAATAAGTTAAATTACATGGGTTTGTTACATTGGGATTCATGTGACCATTGCGTTTTGTACGGATTCATTCACAAACAAATGATTTTAATGATAATTAAAACATGACTGGCGCTATGCTCCAATATAATTACTACCGCAATCGCAATATAAATATACCAGTATTTCTCGACACATTACAAACCGGTCATGAAAGGCGTCCGAAGTTNCCAGTATTTCTCAAAACCAGTCATGAAAGTCGTCCGAAGTTAAATCTGAAACGAATTCGATGAGTACTGCCTTTTGTCTTACACAAATCATACAAGTAAAAATAAATTGCCGCACATCGTTACGACCAGAAATTATCCAAAACTTTCTTCGTATTATTTATAAAATCATCTTCGATTTCGTATGTAAATAACCGGTGCGATAATATTGAATTATTAAATGCATAAGATGAGAAATTTTAGGTAAAACTATCGGTTTGCATTTGGCTGAAATGAGTTTAGCATTATATTCTATGTCAATTAGTTTCATATAATATTCATGACAATCAGTGTAACCCCTTATAAGGTATTTTAAAATAAATTAAAATACAATACCAAGAATTTTAATACAGAAATAGCATGATTTTTAACTACATCAAACAATTGCACATAGAACTAAAAGTAGTCGGGAAAAAATTTTTTCTTGAACTAATAGTAAATTATATTAGCTTTATTTTAACATTTTGTTTCAAGCTCGAAGTATTTCCGGAATATTTTCAAAACTTAATTTGAAAAAGTTATATTTTTGTGCAGAAGTTGCTATTTTGAATCCTCCCTGTGGACATATAAGGGTCAGATTTAAAAAAAAATTATATCAAATGAAAGAGACATATATATGGTTTCATTATAAAAGAGAATTATTTAGATTTGTTCATTTTTCAATATGTTATGACAATTTTTAATCAGAAAAGTTTAAAAAATATCTAAATTTACTAATTTTAAAAATCATAATTTTTTGGGAGATTTTCACTATTTACGGGGAATGACGAATCGTTGAGAAATATCTCCCCAGTGAGAGCTGAGAAAAAGTAGAAGAAAAAAATGAACATATCAAGTTAGATTAATACCTTCTCAGCTTCGCATCGAAACTAAAATGTATTGCATTAAATAATTTAACATAACAATTTCAGGCTCTAAATTATTTTACTTCTAGATATCGGATAGTTTACGGACTCTTGCGGATCTTTATATGTAACATTTAGTGAAATTTGCAACACCATTTACAGGGATGGCGAACCTTTTTGTACTAGCATGTCAAAAAAAAATCTTGGTTGGATTTTGTTTTCCCTGCGTGTCAACTAGTTTTATAACCTTTTTTCATACTTAAAAAATCCTATATCCATGGTTTGAATGATAAAAAACAAGTCAAATATTACATTATCAAACAGTTTAATTATATTAGATACGAAAAGTATACGTATCACGTCAGTATGTAAAAAAAATTAATTTATAAAAAATAAAAAATATTGAAATGTTAAAATGTAAAATTGTTATGCATGAATTTTTAATGAGAAATTTGTTGCTGCATTTTATTGGCTAATGAATCAATTCTTGGACTGTATTTGGTTGATTTTAATTGAACACATGCTTCACTGAAATCTGTTCCAAGACGATTCCTTACAGTTGATTTAATAAAATTCATTGAAGAAAAGAGCTGCTCACAGGCATAAGTTGATCCAAACATTGTCAATAAAGAAATAGCTAGTTTTTTCATAGATGCAAATGAATTTGGAAGACTTTTCCACTCATTAAGAATCAAATTTTCCGATTTAAAATTCCTACCAATTTCATGATGATTATTTTCTAGCTCATAATTCAAATTAATAAATTTATTTCTCCAAATATTACTTCCCTGAAATTCTATTAACTCCATTTCAAAATTTTCAATATTTAACCACTCAAAAAAACTAAGTTCAAGTTCTTCAAATGTGGATTCAATAAAAACTGTAATGTTGAATTTAGATGACGAAATTGGGAAAAACTGCTTGAAAAGAATTCGTATGTATTTTTTAATATTTTTACATATTTTGTTATTATTAATTTCATATCAAACTGATCATCTTTAAAATGTTTTGAATCTATTAATTGCTTTTTCAAATAAGGAAAATATTTCAAGTTTTCATTTTGTAGATCTTTACAAAAAACTTCAATTTTTTTTCAAAAATTTTAATATTACAAACATAGTTAAAACTGTTTGACCTCGGCCTTGGAGTTTTTTATTTAAATCATTATAAATTGCAGTAAAATCTGTGAAAAACATCAAATCATTCAACCAATTTAAATCAGTAAGCTCTGGATAATCTTGAGATTTGTCCGACAAAAATAAAAGTACTTCTGCCAGTAATTCAACAAATCGATGAAGAACTTGCTCGCGACTCAACCATCGAACACTATTATACATAAGAAGGCCAGAGTATTGCGATTCCACCTCTTCTAATAATTTGGCAAACTGTCGGTTGTTTAAAGCTCGAGATGTTATGAAATTGACCATTTTTAACAGTTTCCATTATTTTTTGAAGCGATTTCATACTATCTTTTGCACACAACGCTTCTTGGTGTATAATACAGTGAAAGTTGATTAAAGGATGCAAAATTTCATTGGAAAAAAGTTTAATAAATCCATTGTTTTTACCAATCATATTTGGAGCGCCGTCAGTAGTTATAGAAACAATATTTTGAATATTGATTTTTAAATTTATAAACTTTTTATGTACTTCATCCATAATTCACGACCAGTTGTTTTAGTAGAAATTGTTATTAATTTTATTAATTCTTCTTTCATAATATTAACACTAATAAATCGAACAAAAACTGCTACACGAGCTTGAGAAGTTACATCTGTACTTTCATCAAGAAAAATCGAAAAAGTCTGCTGAAGCTAAATCAGTTTGAAGCTGATTTGATATATCGCCACTCATACATAAAATTCGTTCTTTAACAGTATTTCTACTAATAGGTAAATCTTGAATACGTTTTATTATTTCATTTTTATTCACAAAATCATGAAATAAAGTATTTGATGTCATTAAAAAAACTTCTTTTATGTATTCTCCATCGAAAACTTGTTTACCATGCTGTACAATACAGTGGGATACAGAAAAACTAGCAGCTTTGAAATTATTTGATTGGTTTTTAAAGCGTTACAATTTTTGCGAAATTAATTCCAACTTTTCTTCAGTTGATAAAGAATTGTCTGTATGAATTGTTTCAAAATGTCTTTTTACATTAAAACTGCGACTAACTACTGTTTCATTACATAAACAACATAATGCTTTATTATTTTTTTGAACTACCCCATACGGTCCTTTGTTCGTGAAATGATCTTCCACTTTTACTTTTTGACATCATTTATTAAAAAATATAACCTTTAAATATTATAAAAATAACACTCACCAATAATGAAAATTGTCAAAACGATTCATTTAGACAAGTCAAAGGCAACGATAAAATTTAACACATGAAACACATTCGATTCGACGAATGAGTAATGACTAACGCTAGCCGTGGATCAGTTTTACACGTTATATCCGTTATATAAATATATACCTAATAATGTTCTTATCGAATAAGATTTTCTTATCGAAAAGTAATAAAATTAATAGTTTGAGCAGTGTAGATATTCAATTCAATGCGTGTAGGTATAATACCATAAATTTAATATTTCATTTTTGTAATCTCAATTTATTTTAGTCTACGTCCTACGACCAGTGGTTTTTAATGACAAACTTTTACATAGATCCGTGTGTCACTAAAATAGTATGCGCGTGTCACTCTGTGAGACGCGTGTCATAGGTTCACCATCTCTACCATATATAATAATTCATGTAAAGAGAAGAATTAAATATTTAATAAGTCATGTTGACTTTTCAAAATCGTAATGTTTACTAATTTTAAATAAAAAATTAAGAAACTTACTGTTGCTATTTTTTTAATCATTAAAAAAAAATCCTAAAATATAAAAAATCATTTAAATTTATTTGAAAAGAAAGTTAGAAACTATAGTACGCTATCATAATGTATATTGTTAATAATTTAGAATACTTAAAAATTATACATAAAAAGATTCTAAATTCTTAGTAATAATTCGTATGTATTAGCTTGAATAAGGATATCTATATCACACATTTTATGATCTGTTAACCTGTTTTTGCCGTAATTAAGGTGAAGTTAGCTAAATTGGTAATCTAAAATAATTGACGTAATTTTAACTTTCTGTCACTGAAATTTAATTAAAATTATAAAACAAAATATATTTATATAGTTCATATTGTGAGAGACTAACTTTTTTGGATATAATTCGTGTGAATATATTTATATAAAATTATTAATTATTTTTTTAAAACAACTCTGAACTTAATCATTAATAATGCGTAAGAAAGAAAAAAAAATTGTGCGTTATATTATGTCATTTACAAATAATTAAGAATATAAAAAAATAAATTATAACTACAGTTTCAATATGGTCGCTAATTAAATCAATCAATTCATTGTATTCTGTTTTATTTATAAGACCATTTTGGTCTTGGTCAATATTACAGAATTTATTGGTGACAGCTTCAACTTCGTCTTTATTCAGTGTTTCTATCTACAGAATATAAAATAATATATTAAATTAATCAGGTAAAAATGATAATAAACTAATTAATATGTAATTTTACAGGTCTGCCATCACACCGCTTTTGGCTTGCACCCAACAGTTTCAGAATAAGGACAATTCCTACATTAGAATCCGCTATAAAATATTGATACATTAAATACAAGGTGATTAACATTTCATGTTACATCATTTTTATCAAAAATTAACAAAAATATAAAAAAGCATTTGAAGTGAAAAGTAATTATCATACCNGAAGCCTTTAAAGTAAAAAGTAATTATCATACCTAATTACATCCAATTTTATTAACATGTAATTTTAAAAATTATCTATAGGGGTTTTAGTGAGACTATGTAACCGAATTGGTAACGCGGCAGTGCTTGACGCGCAATGACTCAGTTTGAAACTTGGTCACAGGCGGTTTCATTTAACAAGCGAGAAATCAGTTCGGTAATTGGAGTTCACCTTCTCTCTCTCCGGCCACTAATTAAGGGGTTATGTTTGAAAAACAAAATGGCAATACATGTAATTATAACAATGTAATATATTTAAGTTATTAATTTTTTTGTAAATATCAACGTTCAAAGAATGTTTATAATAAATGTATGAGCTTTTTGAATTTGAAAGAAAATTAAATTTTTTTTTTATTATTTCAGAATATAAGATAAATTTAGCTAGANATTATTTCAGAATATAAGATAAATTTAGCTAGACCATGTAACGTCTGTAATTTTTTGTAGTTTCTTAACGCTTAATGACATAATAAACAATAATCTGATAAAAATTAGGATACATCTAACGTAATACTATAACATAAAGACTGTGGAAAATCTTTGATAAAATTTCTGAGTAGGCACCAAGTATATTACAGGAGCGCAGTTAAAGAAATAAGTGAAATAACCCCAGCTATTTCATTTTTATACAAGTAAGTTTAAAATAAAATAAAAAAAATCTTTTACGTAAAATAAATAAAATGGTTCTAAAAAATTAAGAGTACAATAATTATTCAGTTTTGCCAAATTTTTAAAATAAATATGGCTAGATATTTTAAGTGGTAATTTATGTTACATATATAATTAACTTAATGTATGTAAATAAAAAAAATTAGAATATTTTTACATTTGAATATTAGAAAAATCATACGCAAAAACTATATTTTTTATAACTTTTATAAAATATATAAACAAATTATTTTTGTTAATTTTACATTTGTTGCTTAATGCAAAAAAAAAATTAATGAATTCATTTCCATTGTCGTTAAATATTTTACTACAACATCGACTATGTACAATATTTTTATAATTGTAATATATTTAAAAGATTATATGCTAAAAACAAAACTTCTGAAATAAATAATTATGAGGTTTTTAAATTAAAAATTATGAAGCTATAATCTAACAGTTTTTATATGTCACAATGCAATAAAATACTCACCATACTCGTTAGGAAGTACTGAAACAATATAATTCAACTTAATCAAATAAAAACGGTAGAACAGTGTAAACATGGCATAGTTGAGACAAATATAAATTTATGATTATAAATTAAAAGGTTACAAATATCATAAATAATCGAATTTTTGACCAACACGGATAAAATTTGTAACTTTTCATGGCACATTGAAAAATATAGAACGAAAGTTGGTGACCCACTGGGCGAGGCAATATAATGTCGGACCACAATAGAATTTAAAAAAAATTAAATATTAAATATTGAAGACAATTTAATATTAAAAAAAAAAGCGGTAGCACAGTGGGATCGCGACACGGTATGGACGTGGCATAGTTGGGACAAGTACAGATGATATCTGACTTTGATTAAAATGATATTATAAAAAAAGCTACGATACAAATCTGTAAGTAGTGTTTAATTTTAAAATAATAGTGGATTATTCCAAAAGCGAACTAAAAAGTTAGAAACACTATCGTATGTCAACTACGAGTTAGCCAAGTTAACAGTGATAAAATTTTTTAATTTGCGTGATTCTATCATTGTAATCATATTATGATAGGATATTCCTTGCTAGGAAGTTTGATAATAAATGCACTTATTCACTATTATTCACGTTTCAATTTATGATATATGAACTTATTTAATTAAAAATTCAACATGTTTTAGACAATGTTTCTATAATTTTATTTAAAAAATCAAAATTTAACAAACTTCAAAATGCTGCATGAACGTAACTACTGAATTAAAATAAGAGCTTTTGGTATCAAAATTTTTTTTTTTAATTTATCTATAAAATGGCTATCTTAAAATCTTAAAAATTTTTTAACATATTCTATATTGTAAAAATTGATTAAAAAAAAAAATTATAAAATGTTATGTAGATTATAACTTATATGAGTTGTCAGTTAGTTCCGTTCCACCCTATGCATAATTATAATATATAAAAAAATAAAAGGAAGTGGTCCAATAAAAAAAAATTATGTTGCTTAAAAGAAGAATATAAATAGTACTTATATTAAAAAAAATTATAATGATACACATTTTTCAAAATGTTATAACATTATTATTTTAAATATTTAACAAAGAAATTATTTACAAAAATCGTATTTTTTTTATTAATATTGATGTCGATTTTCACAATAAAAACAAAATATAATGCGAAATTATTTCGATAAACTTTAATTTAACCCTTAACTGGTATCGTCGGGTCAAAAAAAACCCATGACATTTTGTTTTTAACTTTTTTTCAATAGATCGCACTTTTTTCACTGTAGAATGCATTGTATTTTATCAAAATGCTTCAAACAACATATTACGTCTTTTGTTATCAACAATTATTACGTGTTTCGTATCATGTAAATATAAATATAAGCTATGTCATTATAAAAATGTGTGTAAAAATAATTTTGCTAATTTTAAATTATGAGATTGGTATTTTGAAAATCTAATAATTCTACAAATTCTGTATTGACAATTTTTATTGTATTTTTATGGAATTAAATATCACTAATATTACTCGAGTTATACAAAGTATGGTGAGTGTTCTTCTTTTTTTTCGCCTTAATCCCAACTACTTGGGGTCAGACGCCCTTGTCCTAAGCTTCCACTTGACACGATCTCCCACATCTTCTACGCTCACATCAGCTGTTCTCAAATTGCATTCAATAGCATTCNCCCACATCTTCTACGCTCACATCAGCTGTTCTCAAATTGCATTCAATAGCATCCCTCCATCTCTTTTTTGGTTTTCCTCTACCTCTTCTTCCTTCAACATTCATTTCTATAACAGTTCTTACAGCTTCCGATTCTTTTCTCCTCATAACATAATCAAACCATTTAAGTCTATTTTCTCTCATCTTACAAAGGATGGTGAGTGAATTTATAACAATATGGTGCCAGATAAAATCGTTTCATAGGATCGTATAAAACTACCTTCGAAGTATGGCAAAAAATCTCTCTGTCTCACAAGTATAAAAAGGTTCACACATTATGCGATATCACCACAATATACGATGTACCACCTCCAACCGTAGACACAAAAATTTGTAAAAATAGGTGACATACTAGTGAACTAAGTACATATAGACGTAATGACGTATAGGGGAACTCGTGTCGTATAAACACAACTTTCATTGAAAAAATACCAAAACACTCGATCATGTGATCGGGCTATCAGGTGATGAGGTGCTTTAGAAGGAACATTAATATACTACTATTTCCGCTAAAGCATGTCGGGTATACGTTCCAAGTAACTGATTTTTAAATAGTTTGACTTAGCTTGCAAGATTTTAAGATACACCAGAATAATATACATTACGTTACCACATTGTCATAAGTTCACCAACCCATAATTAAAATAATAATGTAATCCCAAGTCGACAGTATTTTAACTCGCCCATCTTGTTGGAAACCTAAAATTCTAATATATATTATAAAAAAAAAAATTTTATAAATATGACAGTTGATATTTGAAGACGCCTGCCATATTTAGTTAAATATTATGGGCACCTAAACAAATAGAAAAACTAAATTATCCCAGCAACAAGATTTTCAGAAAACGAACTCAAAAAATAAAAACTAGCTCAAAACATGAACAAAAAATGTTAATACGTTATCAGCCCCGAAAGCATAACGATAGGTTGATACGGTCGCTCATCAACAAGATGAAATTAAAATTACACCTCACGAAAAAAGAGCAATAGAAATCACAAAATACAATATTGTTTTTCCTTGAATAATATTTTACAAATAACACAACAAATTATCGTTACCACCAGACCTTAACTCACACACGATGTGTCCCAATTATCGAAATTAACAAGAATATTTTTAACTTCATATATTTTCTCTATAAATCCAATTGATTTATTTTTATTTTAACACCACTTTTTTTAGATTCTATGCGAATTTTAGAAAGTACTAATTTTACTATAATGTGTGGTTTTTTGTGCCAGTCGAAAATTGAAAAATTTTCCATCATTCCTAGAAAATGGGAGAAATCTCCGAAAATATTACAAACTTAAAAATCGATAATTGATTTAATTAATTACACATAAAGCAGGGTAAAATTTTTGAAAAATAAATAAATAAAAACAACTTTTTTAATAAAAATATTAGGTGTTTACCAATAATTTTAAAATATATATTTTTTTAAATATGACCCTTATTTTTTTATCAGTTTTTTTAACTTAATATATTCTCTATAATCCTAACCCAACCGTTTCTTCGTCTGTCACTCTATTTTATTTGTATTATTATCAATGTAATACTTTTCAAGTTCATCCTATATGCCTTGTAAGGGTGTTAACTTTGGTTTTTTAAAGGGGAATACATATTTTAAATTCAATAAAATGTTTGAGTTTTTAATTTAATATTAAATGTCATTTGAATTTTTAATATAACTTCAACAGTTTATTAGATATAAACATATAAAGTTACAAATTTTTAAGTTAATGTGCATGTATAATACACAAGGAATTACAAATACAGGTAGCTAATTGGTATTCTATGACATCGAAATTCGTAGGTCCACAGCATTTATTATCAATGGTAATAAGACACATTGTTGTAATTTTATAAATACACCAACTGGCAATACAAAAAGTATATCTATTGATACTCATAATTGACAATAAACAGTCCATGACTGTAACAATTATGTCATAAAAAAACAAATAGCTATGTGTATTTGTAATCCCATGTTTATAACTAATGAACTAAAAATGTTATATTAAAAACTCAAATATTTTATTAAATTCAAAATATGTGTTTCCAATTCAAATTAATTGGTGAATG